GAGCGAAAGTCTTATATTAACAGTAGGATGAGCCCTATTGCTTATCGTCAATACTCGAAAAAAAAAAAAAAAACAAGCAATATAAATGGTATGATACTAAGACGATATACGGTATTTATCATAAAAATTACAATTGTAAGCTTATATGATCATGATTGCTTGTATTTCGTGACTGGGCTTCGTGAGAGTTGGCAAACGCCTGACTACAAATTGACCTTTCATTGCTGAGCCGTAGAGTGATTTTGGAGGTTATTTTTCCGGAAAAAATACGCCTAAAAATACGGTAATCAACATATTGAAAATATCTATATGAATATATGTATGTATGAATGCATATATTGTATTGAAGTAAATGTTTCCTTTATTATGTTTTATATTTTTTTACTTTTACGAACTGCTGACGTGTTGCACAGAGTAAAATAAGGGATAGTTTGAATATAACAAGTCAGAGGAATACATCACACGTGAAATAATACGCTACCTGTGAAAGAATATACCACATGGTGAAGAACTTCCCATCCCAACCCCATGATTGATGTGTCGTAATAGCAACAAGGGGAAAGTGGTTATGAGGCTATAAATAAAAGTGGTTATGAGGCTATAAATTAAAGCAAAACATGACAAGCAAATGAACAAAACACAGCTAATTAAATTCTTTTTTCAATGTCTCATTCATACGAGTTGACAGATTCATCTCGTATTTGGCTGAAATTTCAAGCGTTGTCTGTGTCACATCTCGCTTCAAATGTTTGACTAGTTCAACATCTTTTCATGGTGTAAGTTTTTGTCAATCATTTTTTTCGACTGCGATGTTTTGAATTGTACAAAACAATTCTCAACACATATTTGAATCTTGCATTGGCTTCTGTGAGACATTTTTTCGGCTGCATATTACCATAAAGAGCGTAAGCAGATTTACCATAAATCATGCGTCCTCCGGCAGGATTTGAACCTGCATGCCCTAGGTTTGATAGGCGATGAAGGTTCCATGTTGGACTCTCCCGTTGTATTTGACGTATGAGGGTCAAGCAGCCTAGACACTAGCACATGAGATTTGATTATAGTGGTGAAGGCTTTGTGCATAACCAACCACACTTTTTGAAGCGCCGAATACAGAGACCTGGTCCACTATGTGCCACAAGGTCCCCAAATGACCCTCCGCAGGTTTTGAATTCAGAGTTGTCCTTCTCCTAGATCCAGTCTGTCCAACTATTTACCTATAACTAGGGGAGAAGAAGAGGATTCATGCCTTTCCCAAGGGTACTAGCACGTAAGTGAATGTAATTGATTCGAGTGGAATTCGAACTCGGCTCCACGATTCCTCAGTCCGAGCCACTATCGATTACTCCGATCACATGTGACTTCCCTAAGCGGGCTCTATATATAAGGCACTGAAAACTTATAGGAACTGGGGTGAACGAAAACTAACCCTTCTCCGTTCATTTGTCTATGGCTCATGTTTTACGCTATTTGTAATTCTGTCATTTAGTTTATTTTAATCAACCATTTGTTTTTGTATTAAATAAAAAATAATACACACACACACACACATATATATATATATATATAAATACACACAAAACACACAAACAAAACACACACACACACACACACACACACACACACACACACACACACACACATATATATATATATATATATATATATATATATATATATATATATATATATATAATAACAATGGACTCTCCCGTCGGTTTCGACGTATGAGGATCTAACAGCTAAGTTGATTCAGTTACGAAATTTTGTACGATGATCTTAAGTGGTATTTAAGACCCGCTAGTGATTTACAAAGGAGGTCACATATGGAGCAAGAGTGAGCATTGTGAGATGAGATCACTGTTAGATTGGCTGACCTTTTAGATCTTGCTCTCGCTTCTTGAAGATGATTCAGACAAGCAGATTGAAAATTGCTGAGTCCACTAAAACACGTTGATCTCCAATCTACCTGCTCCAAGGCTAAGCGCTCAAGGGTGTTATGTGGTATATTGACTGCTGACAAGTTGCTTTTCAGCCTGTCTTTGTATCTTAGCCATGGGCGTCCTACATTCCTGTAGCCCTGATCTAATTGGCTGTACATTAGGATCTTGGGTATCCTGTCATCAGACATTCTCAAGAGATGGCCAGTCCACCGCAGAAAGCTTATATATATATATATATATATATATTTAAACATGTCTGATTAAAAAATTAGACATTGTTCTGTTTATTTATTTTCAATAAAATCCTTTCGTAATCACATATAAACTTTCTTGTTTAATGATTAAAGACAACCTAAAGGTATTGTGGTAATATTTATTCATTTTTATTTTTCCCGTGCACTTCCAATATTTCCAATATCAACATAAGGATTTTGATGGCCGAGAAAAATAATATTTATTTGTCCGAAATAATTTTTTGCTTTTGTAGTTAACCCGTTAATAATTCAAGTCATGCGCAAAGTCACAAACGCTGATATTCAAAATTTTATGATGTAAGAGAAATTCTTATTGAATTATTACAATTGTGAATATGCTTGTGTACATAACATCAGTTTCATATTTATTTTTATGTAAGGGAGGTAATTTAATTAATAATTGAAATATGACTGGTAGGTTATAATTTACTAGTTTTTAAAATGTCTATTTGTAATTTAGATATTTTTTTAAAGCATATACTATAAACATTTCAGAACATTTATTCATAATTAATTTTGTTAAGTGTTGGTGTTCATTTTTTAATAAAGATAGATTCAAGAATTTGTAGTTTCCGCTTATTACTTTCTTGGTGAACTATACAAATATAACTAATATTCTTCTAAATTGTGAATCATTGTTTCCCCACAGAGAAGACACCGGAGCATTAGGCCTTATGGCACACAATCTAAGTACAATAAGGGATTAAAATAGCAGTTTTAGACGAAGAAATAGACACAAGAATGTAAGCGATCATGGATCTCCGCAGATTCCATTTCATTATTTGTGAATTGCCATGAGTTCTTGGAGAATAGAGAAGAATGGTTTCCCCTTGATTTCTCCACGATTTGTATTTACAGTTGTCTTTCTTCTAGATTGGCTTCCAAAGAAGAATCTAGTCTGGTTTGATATTTAACCCATAGCTAAAAGGGAAAGAGATGTATTCATGCTTTTCCCAAAGGAAAAATTGAACTTGGCTCACCTTCTCAGTATAGCGTACATCATAATAACACAGGAAGTAAAAAATGTAACGCTTTTGGATTCAGAATAGAGATGTACAGTAGTTACAAGTGTAAGTCATTCTCCTACATCCAAGGCGACCGAGAGTGGCGTTGGGGCCCGTAACTGAAGTAGGTCTGATCGAGGACTCCTTAATGGCAGACCGAGAGGGGAAGTCCCCAGAATCTTATGACTTGTAGCAATTTTTTTGCAAACTTCCAATTCTTAATACCAGAAAGTTGTAGCTTAAAAGCGATTTCTGCTGATCTTCTGTGTTAAATCTGCAGCCACGATTATAGCTTCCTGCGCTGCTGATATTACTTGAGCCTTTTGAGTTAAGCTTATGTATTGGATCTACTGCTGATGAAAACCCCCGACAATTATTTCGGCGGATATTTTATTTTCTCCCTCTCTTCGTTGGCCTGACCACAGTTATCGGTCAGTTAGTAAAATGCTACGCTTTTGATAGAAGAAAAGAATTAGGCAGTGAGCACTAGGCTCAACCATTCTTTCATAACTAGTACACAATTAATAAAAAAATATTTAAAAATTTGTTCCAACTATTGTTAATCTTTACATTGGTCATCCTATTCAATCTACGTGAAATGTCCCACACTTGTGTCTATATGCCATTATAATCTAAGCTTATGTTTCTTTACCTCCTGCGATATTAAAAAGCTTATCTCTCGTAGTGAACTGTAACCTTTCACTAAAGACCTTGGGCACCTCGACGTAGTGTAACGGTTAGCAAGCTTGTCTCGGTAGAACAATTACGACTGAGTAGGGAGTTCGATCCACACCATGTGCCGCATACTTTCAGCATTGTGCCACATCTAAACTACACTTAGAAATTTACCTTTCACTAACGATCTTGTCCAAGACTACATTAAGTGAGATACCTTTTATAAAACTCTCAACCTGTTACAATGGTAAGAATGCAGACACTTTACTAAAGTGTGTTCGATCTTCAATGAGTGCCCTAAACTTGTGGCTCTTATTTTTACAAAGTTACTTTTATTAACTCTAAGATCTCCATGATGCTTAAGGTTTAACAAGGTAACTCGGAGCCCATTGTTTTTGAATTTGATACTCACTTAGTGCCCCACATTAATGGCGTTGTGCCTGACAAAGGTAAGGTTATCTCGCAAACTAATTACCATTGTGAGCTTGATTCTCAATGTATCGTATTTGCGACATTGGTAAATATAGATAAACTGAAAGATACACTGATACACATATGCAATTTCCTTCAGGGTATTGTGAAAGAATTTGTCACTTGCATTCGTTCTGATATATATGTTCTTACGCATATATCTATAGATAATAAGGAAAGTATATTTGTTCCACCCTGGGCATCGCATATACACACAAACACACTCACACATACACAGAGAGAGAGAGAGAGAGAGAGAGAGAGAGAGAGTGATAGTGTGTGTGTGCGTGTGTGTGTGTGTGTGCGTGTGTGCGTGTGTGTGTGTGTGTGTTTTCTATATACATTCATAAAGTTCCAAGACAATTCCGCAGGCTCTAACCCATAAATACACGCACCCTTGCTCTTGTCTCTCGGGGCATCTTCTTACAATAAAATAATAAACATCCAAAAAACGGTGAGATGGCAAAAAGCTGAAGAAGTTGAAAAGGCCGTGTAAAAGCAAAGAGTTTTTGAAAACTGAAATAAAAATAAAGATAAAAAAAAATGAATCCGGCCGGACAAGGTGCATAGCGTGAAACGAAGGCAAACATTTCAAAGTCGTCCATGGAGTAGCTTCTTACGGCTGCATTTTACATTAAAAGAAGCTTTTTTACCTTGATAAACAAGTAGAAGAGAGTGCATCTGGGGCGTCGGGAGTTTGCTGGTGGTAATATACGCATGCGTGTGCCTTTTGGCACTGGGAATTATGGGATATCACTGGTATAAGGATGGACGAGGAGCGAGAAAGGAAGACGAGTTTACAAGGGAGAAGAATGTGGGCGAAAGATTTTGCTGGGGGAAGTAAAGAGACGGAGAGGTGCGGACAATGAAAAGTTAAAAGAGTGAACAAAACGAAGGAGTGAGGAGATAGAAATGAAGAAAGCTTTGATGAGAAAGATGAAATTCAGAAGAGAAGGAAGAAAGGAAGACATAAAGCACAGAAACTAGGACGAAAGAAAATAAACTAAAACACACACACACACAAATATATATATTATTTCAACTTCTTTGCCTTTTTCAATTCATTTAGAATATATATATATATATATATATATATATATATATATATATATATATATATATATATATATAAATGATTATAAACATTATTTTTAATGGTTACACGTGTTTGAGTTGCTATCCCAGTGTTTTTTTTTATTTTGTTAAACATTGAATTTCATGATAACCAGCTTAAACTGAGTAATACTATTAAAGAAAAAATACTGCCCTAGTCAGGAATCGAACCTGCATCCCTTTTTTTCTTTAGTAAATGAAAGTTAGTCAATGATGTTGAATCTTATTTAATCCAATTAATATTTAATTTCTTTTAGTATGGAATAAATTTATGCATTATATATATTTTTTAAATAACAGAAGGTTAAGAATTTAACCGTTTTCTTTCAATTTGTTAACATTTTTATAATCATGTATGTTGGCTTGGGATAGAAGTAATTCTTTCAGGAATGGAGATATCTGAAACATCCGGGGCACAGATTGATATTTTGATAATATTCGACAGCAGCACTCTCGAGAATTTTCCGTCTAAGTTCTTTTCTCTTTCAATAAGTGTGTCATTCTTTAGCGCAAAGTTGTGGTTGAATATATTTCTATATATGAGTAATGCGTTTGATAAATTGCTGTGTATAAGATTCTTTTTTCTTTTCATAGATACCATTTTTTATAATTTCTTCAACTTTCCCTAATGTATAGAGAAATTTCAAAAGCTTCATTTACTCGCTGTCGTTTATTAGATTTTATAATATGTCATTTAGCATCCTTCATAATTTACCTAGACTTTTCAGTTAACCTGCTGAATATCTTAAAATTAAAATTTTGATAAACTAACAACGTTTTTTACTTTTGCTTATAAATACTTGTTGCAAAATGAAATCCTCATATTTGCCTTGAGATAATCCGTTAGAGGATGAAACGCATCGGCTAAGATAAGTTTTTCTTTTGTCTTTATTCATATATATATATATATATATATATATATATATATATATATATATATATATATATATATATAATATAATATAATATAATATTAATATTATTATTATTATTAATATTAATTAAAGAATATCAAACAATTAAATCCCTATAAGTAATAAATTTTATATCATGAGAGCTCTAAAAAAGCAGCTCTGAATCTTCAAGACCTACAAACAATCCACAAAGGTAGGCCTTGAAAACTGAGAGATGCTTTTTTATAGCTCTCATGAAATAAAAATTATTTTATCAATTATTTCCAGTGTTTCGTATTCTTTAATTAATAATAATTTTGTTCTGTCTTTTGACATAGAGCTCTCCCTGGATCGATATCCTCCTGGAAATTTCATACGGATTAGATTATATATGCGTGCGTGCGTGCGTGCGTGCGTGCGTGCGTGTGTGTGTGTGTGTGTGCGTGCGTGCGTGCGTGCGTGCGTGCGTGTGAAATGAAAAAGCGCGAGGAAAATAAAAGCTATACTGCTCGAAAAGAACATCGAACATAGTTAATTTAAAAAAAGGAAACCCAACGATTAAAGATGTTGAAAAAAAAAACAAAGAAGGAAGAATCGGAAAAAGACAAATGAATGAAAAAGACGTAAGAAGGAAAGAGATTTAAGAAGTAAAAAGAAACTACGGAAAAATGACTGATTGAGAAAAGGTTAAAGGAAAAATAATGAAAGAAACAGCATGAAAACGAATGAGGAGAAAGATTACGACACAACGAAAAAAAAAGAAAGAAAAAAAAGTAAAAAAGAAGAAAATAAAAATAAAAACATAAAAATAAAAAAAAACGAATAAAAAGAAAGATGCCAAAAACAAAAGAAATATGAAAATAGAAAGAATGAAACATCATAAAAACTAAAAGAAAGAAAGAACGAAAGAAAGAAAGGCAATTATACAGTCATGAGACATTACCTATCGTTTTCTATATTCGTTCCCACATGTATGTATATGAGATACCATTATACACACGCACGCACGCACACACACGCACGCACACACACACACACACATATATATATATATATATATATATATATACATATATATATATACACGCCCCAATATGGTTGTGGTTGCGTGTGCGTGTTTGCATGCAAGAGAGCCTCTGTGAGAGTTTGCACGTGTCTGTTAGTGTCTTCGTCCGTGATTATTTACAGGCGAACCTCAAAATTAATTCTTGCTTATTTGCCTTGGTTCCAAATTGTGTGTCCACAAAAGTTGTTTGCTTATGGCAAACACAACGCTACCTCAGGGTCACGCTCTTAATATCTCTCCTGTCTTTCTTTTCTTTTTTTTTTTCTTTTTTGTAACGAAATTTGCTCTCTCAGGGTTTTTTCCCCTCCCGTCTTCTATTCACATGATGAGTCGAGCAATTGTCCTTTTCTTGTCTGTCTACACTGAAACGAACAAAAGTTTTCACAATATACACAACTGGTGTAAATTTGGGGTAGAAATAATTCCACGGTAACTTTAAAAAAAAAGATTAGATTATTAAAGTACAAAAATGAAAAAGCCAAAATGGTTTCCACTTAATATTTAAAACATTTATTTCGTAGAATTAACATTAAATTTATTAATTGTTTAATTCGTTTTCTATGAACGTTATTTAAAGTTAGAAACTAGTTTTTAGATTGTAAGAATTTTTTTAGATAATAATGGTTTTAGTGATATAAGCTTTGTTAATTAACCCATAGTTGAAGGAAGAAGAAATGGATTCATACCTTTCCCAATGGTATTTGCACATAAGTGAATATAATGAACTTTCGACGAATTAACATTAAAATACAGACCTTCATTTTTTAAATCTATCTTCTCAAATTCGCAAAAGTTCACAGAAATAAGTTTTTAAAACCACTATTAATTATTTCTCGATTGAATAAAAATCATCACCATAGATAATGGTTTGCCAGTTAATCTAACTATGCTTTTTCTTTTCTTTTTTGTTCCATGTCCTTTCAAAATGCAACGATTATGGATCTCCACAACTTCCCGCTCTTTGTTGCTCTAAGTAACCTTTTATACATCAACATTCCCCTTTGTCCTGTTTCGTCATCCTTAAGTCGGTTACCAACTTTCGCTCTGCTTTTCTTCCCTTCAATTTATACCGTAAGTGTTAAATTCTCCAGGCCATCTTTTCTCGTTATGGAGCTTACGGCTACATCCCGTACGATCACAGCAACGTCGATCCGTGTCAGTGCCTAAATGGGTAACCGCTTGGGAATACCAGGTGCTGTAAGCATGGAAATACGGGTGGTATAATGTTAAAGGCTCGAAATTTTTAATCGAAGCGCCGAGTTCCAATTCCAGTTACGTTCGTTATATATTCTCTTACGCGCAAATAGCTTTGGGAAAGTTATGAATTCACTTCATCTCCTCACAGCTATGGATTAATTAGTAAGACTTGTAACACTAAAACCATTATTATCTCCAAACAAAATAAAATTACGTACAAAATATTTAGATTTCGGCATTAAATAAACCATAAAGATGTTGATATGCCGCTAAAGAAAATCAACCAATCAACAGTTTTTCCTTATGTATCCCAGAAATTTCTTCAGTTGCTTTGTGATTTCGTGTAGTTCCCATTCTCCTTAAAACTTCCTCGTTGCTCACATGTTCTGTCTATGGTATTCTCAGCATTCGTCTGTAAAAGCATATTTCTTCTGCTTAATGTCTTTATTTCATATGTGAGAAGGTTGTCCATCATTCACTGCGATATAGGTAGTTATCCCTTTCCTCATTTCTACAGTAGCTCACATGTCTTAATACTTTGCTTAGTTTCGGAAAGACATTTCGTTATTCCTATTTACCTTCGGATTTCTGTGCCATATTTCCCATCATCTGTTGCTACACTAGCCAAACACTTAATTTGCTCGATTTTGATGGCCCCAGTCTACCGCTTAAAACTGGTGCCGTCTGGCTTCTTTTTTTTTTTTTTTTTTTTTGGCTAGTCATGCATCCTGTCTTCTTACAGTTAATAGTCTTTTCTTCATGCTTTCCTTTACTACTTTCTATTGAGTCTGCCATCAACACAGTGTCATCTGCTTATGTTAAGATTATGTCCGCCAATAACAAATCCTGTCAGGTTTTGTAGATTCTCGCAGCTGTAAAGCTAGACTTTTACTGTTCTCCTTTCTTGAGTGTCACAGTCAGGTGGCAATATGCGAACAAGAATAAACATCGGAAATACATTATTTACACTTGGACTGATGTTCTCATCTTTGTTGTTGTTATCACAAAGTTTCGGCTGTTTTGCCCTCCGGCCTTAGGCCAGTGTCTGTCAATCCGGATAGCCTTCAAGCAATTTCAAACTGAAATCTTTATTTAACATATGGGCGTAAATTGTTCTCTTTCGGCTGTCTATGTCTAGGGAAGTAGTTCCCGAATCGTGCGGCGCGCCTCATGGGTACGGAGGAAGGGGATAGCAGGTGAGGCGGAATGATTGAAAAGCAATCAAAGGATTTAGAAACAGTTTCAAAAAAAAAAAAATCCAGTATAAATAGTTATAAATAATTACTGACCGATTTTATCATTGTGATATTTTTGCATTCTATCAAGTATTAAGAATATAGTAACTAGGCTCCGCAAATTGGACGAGAGAGGGATCAATGATAATGTTCTGACTTCGAATTCGTAGTTATCTCCCTTTAACCATGCATCTGTTTGTTTTTTTGGGGGGAGGGGGTATTTTTTTTTTGTTTTTTAAATGTAATTTTTATCACATGAAATTTGGTAAAACGCGAGCAAATTTTAAATCGGAAATGCTTTCTAGAGATAATAAAGATAATTTCTAATGACAGAAATTCAAACAGAAACCAGAAAATACCTATATTCTCACTACTGGTGACACAACACCATGAAGTAATGGTTAACAAGTTAAAAAGTATTACTAATGTGCTGTAAAGTTGATCTTTAGTGAGTGCCCCATAATCAGCGACTCATGCATTGCATATTAATAATACTGTGGGTAATTTAATTCTCATTGAATGCTCTATATTCTTAGCCTTGTGTCCAACTAAGCTAGGCTTAGCAAGTGCCTTAGATGATTTGCCAAAGGTAGCGATTATTTAGCTTGCACATTCTGTGTAGATCTCTATTATATTCTCCGTTAAATTGTATATCGCATTGCGTAATTATTGCTTTTGCGATAATAGCTGATTTTATGCGTAAGCCTGGTCTGGAATTTTGAGATCAGCGCACTTTCAATGCATTACCTTCTTAGTTAATATTGAGGTTGAGTGCAAGACTATGCTGCTACAATGCAGGATATTTAAAAAAAAAATAACGATAAAAACATAAGCCTCCCTGTACCTTTAATGTTCTGTTCATGTAGAATTGTAACCCATATTTATAGTGTTCCATTCCTTTCTCTTACATATATATGATTTGATCGATAAAAAAAATTATTTAATCTGAAGAATGTCTTTCCAAAGACAAAACGTGTAACATAGAATTGTTTTTTTTCGTTTTGCCATTCAATCACCTCTATATACACATACACAAATACGCGATAGGATATTTAGTCCATTTCAAAACACAATTGCCATATTCTTTCCTTTTCTTTTTTCTTTTCCTTAAACCTGCCTTTTACAGGGTAGTTTTGCTGATAGATAGATAGATAGATAGATAGATAGATAGATAGATAGATGTGGAAAATTGAGACAAAGTGGAAAATCTTTTTAATGACAACACGTTTCGCCTTCGTGTATTAAGTAGTCATCTTCAGGAGAGAATGAAAGACAAAATTTTGTTTTCTTATATTAAAACCGTTAATATCCGTTTGCTGAGTTGGTGTCTTATAGTCGAAATGAAAGAACAAAACTGGATGTTTTACGCTTTCTTTCTTTTTGTATTAAACCCATTTATACCTGTTTGCTAAGTGGGCGTCTTTTGGTAGGAATGAGCGAATAAATCTGCGTGTTTTTTTATTTATTTTTTAAAAAGATTTATTTGTATTAAAGACGTGAATTTCTATTGGATTTGAAATGAGTCCATTCCAAGTAGATCTCTGTTATACTCTCTCTTAGCTCATATACCGCATTGCGCTTTGCGATGATCGCTAATATTATACATGAGCCTGGTCTGTGATTTATTATCAAGAATTGTGAGATCGGCACACTCTCAATGCATTTTCTTCTTAATCCTTTTCTTTTTTGATCAGACTTACATTTATTAAGTCGAATCTGTGACTAGATTTGTTACAGAGAACTTCGTCACCAGGCCCGTCGGTACAGTTGGTATGACGTTTGTCTGATATAATTTTTGGTAGTGGATGCGCACTGCTGATGAGTTCCAAATGTAGGACGAAACTGCCGTCCAGAGATTTCTTCGAGACACAATCAATTACTTATATATATATATATATATATATATATATATATATATATATGTATATATGTATGTATGTATGTATGTATGTATTTCGATGAGGAAGAATGCATATTTAATATAACTGTTTTATTATACATCGATTACTATTTTATTAACACCAGCACTCAATGTGCAATATTTCATATATATATATATATATATATATATATATATATTAAGCCCTTTTTGGATTAATAGCCTCCTTGGAATTATCCCTACCAGTCATAAATTTATATTTATATATGTATAACGAGGGGGACAGAGATAGATAGATAGATAGATAGATAGATAGATAGATGTGTTAAATGCTTACCTATCAAAAGCAGGTTAATTGGAACTTTTCCACATGTTTTCAATTGTCGTCCGATGTCTACGATTAGCTGACTGATCAGCTGGTACCTCTTTCTGTGAGTTATTGAAAATATTATATATTTTTAATGAGACCAGTGCAAAACTCTTCACAGAAGCGGCTTTTTATGCGCTAAAAACCACAAAGGCTTATTCGACGCCAATTAGTAATGGCAGCTTCATTGCTTTGTGCCACGTTCAAGTATTTCTCATAAAAAGACGGCACTGCGGAAAGGTTCTTACCATTCATTAATCAAAGACAAAAAGCCGTGAGCGCATTCTCTTTCCTCTGAGGCTTGGCCTAAGCTGTAGTATGTAAGATTCTGATATTGTTTAGGTTGATGTGAAAGTTCATATCGCGTTTATACAGAGATACACACAGTTTTAGATATATTTTCTCTCAAATTTGATCGAAGAGGCATGGGAAATTATTCACTACTTTTTCATTCGTTTTATTTTATTGCATATTGACACTTACTAATAGTCATCTGTCCAAAAGCCTGACCTCAAGATTGTCAATGTTATCAAATTTTCAGGTTATTCGAATAATGTTTTCGTTGTTTTTTTATCGAAACTATGAGACGGGTTTCACATTCTTCGAAAATTAAGTAAATAACTTTAATCAGAAATAAAGACTGACCTGATATCAAGATAGATAGATAGATAGATAGATAGATAGGAACAGACTGAGATAGATAGATAGATAGATAGATAGATAGATAGATAGATAGATAGATAGATAGATAGATAGATAGGAGGCACGGTACAGTAATGGTTAGCGGCTTGGATTGAGAAATCGGAGAGCCGCGTTCCAATTACAGTCCAATCTATTAGATTCACTTACGTGCTGATACCCTTGGAAAATGTATGAATCCACTCTTCTCCCTCTAGATATGGTAAAATAACAGGACAGACTGGATTCTATAGCCTTGGATGGCAACTGGTCTAGAAGAAGGACAACTCTGAATTCAAAACCTGCGGAGGGTCGTTTGGGGACCTTGTGGCACGTAGTGCAGCAGATCTTTGTATTCGGCCCTTCAAAAAGTGTGCACCGTACTATAATCAAATCTCATGTGCTGGTGTCGGTCTGTTGGTTCCTAGGAACTGATCTACTTGACCCTCATACGTCGAATTCGACGGGAGAGTCGAACACACACACACACACACACACACATATATATATATATATATATATATATATATATATATATATATATATAATAAATCCTAATGAGCCTGCTATTACCTAGCTGGACAGTTCACCTAGATGATATCATGTGGCGAAACCTAGGTATGTAGTACCTGTCTCATTAGTATTTATTTTACTTTTGCTTTACTTAGCGTATTGAGTACTCTTCGAAACATACTTTTCATATAATTAACTGTCCACAGATGCATAATAACTAAATATGCATAGAAAAGAGAAAAAATGATTTAATAGAAATACATCCCCTTTATCCGTTTTAATGGGTGAAAAAAGTATTAGTACAATGCAAATTTCAAATTTTAAAACTTTTAAATTGTTTTAATACTCTAGATTATTCAAGTGGGATATTCTAGAATGTTCAAATAATTTCATCAGTACGTATTTTAGCCTAAAAAATACAAACAGAACATTCTGTAATTAATATTTGTGCAAGAAGGTTATCATCGTGGCAAGAGGTAAAGAATTGACAAATTCGCAAAAGGAACTGATTGTTAAGCTCTAGAAAGAAGGTAAAAGTGACAGAAAAATCACAGACAAGCCGAATATTCCATTTACTATCATTAGTTCATTTATTGTAAGGTATAAAACTCAAAACTTTTGAAAACCAAAGAACATGTGAACTGCAGAAGATTTCTGCAAGATCTTCGAGAAAAAAATATATATATATATATATATATATATATATATATATATATATATATATATATATAGAGAGAGAGAGAGAGAGAGAGAGAGAGAGAGAATCATCTTCAGGAGTAATTTACAAAGACAAACTTATAGTAACTAAGATAAAATATGCATTCTGTTGTGATGACTTAAAAACACGCTCGAACGCGCTCTGTAATTATTTACAAATTTAAAATGTATCTGTTGTACCTATGGAATTTTTGCTGATCAGAAATTGCTAAAAATGAAAAATTGCATTAAATGTTTTTTTTTACATGCACCTCAACACCATCAACGTATTGAAGTGCATATAACAAAAATTTAATGCTAAAATCCCAGGGCTTTATCAAGTCAAAAGTCCCGCCAAAACTGACTAAGGACAGTTTTTCCTATTGTTTTTTATTAATATATATATATATATATATATATATATATATATATGTGTGTGTGTGTGTGTGTGTGTTAATATATTTTCTCTGCATACATTATTTTTATACATACAATGATTTAAGTATATGCTCTGTTTATAATAAACAGTATTAATTATATTTACCGGCTTGAATATACTATAATTTTCGTAGAAAATATGTGTCCTCTGACAAGAATCGAATCTGTGTCCTACACGGAACCGTCATTTGATCTGACGTGCTATAGCACTCAGATATAGAGGAAACGTCTGGTTAGCAAAGTCCAATATATATGTGTGTCTGTGTGTGTGCATGTGTGTGTGTATGTTTGTATACAAGTTTGCATTTCTATGCTTTTTTGTAGGAGAACTTTGAGAGCACATAAGATTCTTTATTTCCTGATGGAGTAATTTCAAGAGATGAGTGAAATATCCGGTGAGACACGGGAAACACTGGGCAATATGACGGAATGGATTGATTAGTCTGTTCAAATTCCCTGAACATTTAGCTAACACCTCGTATATCTGCTTATCTGTGTGTCTGCAGATTAAGCGACTTCCTTATCTTTTTTTCCATTCCAAATACACACACACACAAACACGCACGCACTTTCATTTACCCTTAAATAGACTCCCATTTGTCTTCGAAAGAGATGAGTGTCACCCGTATTGAGCCCTGAATTACCTGGGCGGGTTTTTGGTTTCCTTTTGATGCCTATTTATTAGCGTCAGGTGTAGCTTACATCATCTGTCGACACAAAATGGAGTGAAAATTAAACAACGTAACCATGCCGCGTTGATTTCTCCTTAGCAAAGACAGTTTGTAAATATATTTAAACTCGATATACAGTCTTAGCCTTTACAATTTCCTGTCCAGAAAATAAATTGGTCTCATAAACAAATTAAGCCAGCTTTTAAAAAGGGGAATTTGAGAAGTTGGGCGTTGCCTATAAACCAGTCCAGGTGACAAGAAATACCGTCTGCATGCGGAAAGGAAGAGATAAGTACAGAGAGATTTATTATTATTATTATTATTATTATTATTATACACTTATATATCCGAACTCGTGTCCTCAATGTGGATTCTATATTCACACCGTTTTGGTCGTTGCGCGATCCATGTTTTCTCATCCATCAAATATCCTTCATTAGTAAACTTCTGAGAATTAACTAAACACTATTCCATCAGAAAGAAGTCGTTCCCTTTCCGCTGTCTTGCGTTCAGGGTTATTTGCTATCAGTTTATTATCCCTAGTTAAATTTGTTCTTGCAGTGATTTTTTTTTCATTGAACCACACTTACACAGCCTGAATGAGGAACTTAACTGCCTTGTTTATAATTTTAAGTGCATTAAAATTCCAATTTTATTTTATCAGCAACTGAACCCATTCTTTATTTACGAGGAAATTTCGGCATTTTTTATCAGGTGTACAATGTTACCTGCTCTCATTGTAAGATTTGTCATTATCAATCGAAGAGTTTATCTTATTTTTTTTTAATTATTCTTGTCGATGAATATTTCTTCAGGAAATAGTGATCGCAGTGAAGTTTCTTCAAACAAGAGAATAAAAACAATGTATCAGGGATGAAGACGCATCAGGACAGAGTCAGATCCAGGCAACTTTTGACATCTGTTGGACGAATCCCTCCCTGATTGACCATGTCTCAGGAGTGTAGATGTAACTCATCACGCTTGGCCAATTGCGGGTTGGTAAGGCTGTGTAATTCATAGTTGGACATTTTGAAATCAGGGTTGTCCTTCTAGACACCTTGCCATCCAAGGACCCAGTCTGCCCTGCTATTTAACCCATAGCTAGAGGGAAAAGAGATCGATTCATACCTTTCATAAGAGTATTTACATATAAGTGAATGTAACGATTCACGGAGGCACAGTGGAGTAATAGATAGCAGCACGGAGTGAGGAATCGGAGAGCCGAGTTCGAATTCCAGTCGGATCTATTACATTCAATTATGTGCTAATACTCTTGGGAAAGGTATGAATCCTCTTCTTCACCATCTTTGGGTAATATAGCAGGACAGACTGGGTTCTTTAGCCTTGGGTAACAACTGGCTTAGGAGAAGGTAACTCTAAATTCAAAATCTGGCTATTTTGACAAAGAAACAACACTGCAGCTACAGTACAGGTGGGCCTGGTGGGTCACGTGATTCGAGATCGCGATTGCGCAAATGTAACAATTCCTCAATCTGAGCCGCTACCTTTGTGCCTCCTAAGAAAAGGACAATGAATATATGAACAATTACGTACATCTAATGACAAATTATATTATCTGAGCAATGTAAATTGAAAGAATACAAAAGAGGGAAATTGTGTAGTGTATCTAAAGCAGTTCTTCTCATATGCACGTTGTATGATATTCCTATGAAAGGTTGTGAGAAACTTACTTTTGAATAGATTTCCTTATCTGCTGGTTTTGTAGGATTCGTAATAAACTTCGGTCATTCAGTGCTATTCTATCTTGTGTGACATGAGGTTCGCTGAGGATCCAAATGTCCTCCAGAGAGAAAAGGCGGTACATCTTGAAAAAAAATATTTAGGTAAATAGAAAAAAAAGAGATTTTGTGCCATTTTTTTTATATAATGGTTTGGCAACGCCATTTATCGGTCGTTAGCAGAAGTTCTTTGGCAGTCAAGTGGGGTAATTCCACATATTGTTACCACTATATTTCGACTGATCACTTTTAGAACCTCGAACGGCTGGTTGCCAATGGTTGACCAGTATCGATGTTAACGCATTGTGTTTTTCTTTGTTCAACGGTGGATAGATTGAAGATCACACTTTGTGAATAAATAAGAATCGCCAATTTATATGGCAGGTTGGGGATAATATTGTCTGCGTGGCTCTCGTTGCTTAGAATGAACTAAGCTGGCTTGCCATTTTCCTTTCTTTTTTTGCTTACAGATTATACATATAAAAATGGCTGTAGAAAGAATCAGCCGATCACTGGATTAACAATATAAACAACATCAAGAAAAAGGTGAATTTTCCGGAACAAATATTGTATTTTCTAATTTCTACCATTTATATTCTTGCACAAAGCGAAAATGGTGTTATCAGAATCCATAGCTGAAACAGTGTCATAATTTAATGATCACATTTGTATCAACAGCTCTTTACAGTGTGGTTCATCCATAGGTTCACCTTTTCACAAACGTTCAGTGTCCATAAAAACCATTCAAACAATTTTGAATATTAATACACTTTTTAGGGTGCTTCGCCGTGCGTTAACCGGTAATCCAATGAAACTATTACTACTGTATTGAGTTCGATCCTCACCTAGTGCCCGTACATCTATGTCTTTGTGTCGTGCTAATCTAAAATTGTCAAATATAAATTTTAAAGGGCCATATCCCATCATGATATAGGCAGCCATGTCTCTCCATATCAGTCAGTTATGTGTCATGCGTGATACACGCTTGGGCAATCATGTATCTTTCGATACGTGACTGACGAGGCAGATTTTTTTCCCGCAGAAGGTTGCCA